AAAAGGAAAAATTCCCAAAGAAATCTCAAATCCACCACAGAGAAAACCTACACAATGCTGGTTAGGAAGAGGATGTTTTAAATATATGTGCCTAGAATGATGTCCAGAATAGACGGCTTGAGAGCTAGCTTTCATTTTAGAAAACAAATGCTCCTGAGAAGGGGGGGGGGCAAGTCTGCCTCTCAGCTCCGCTCTCAGAAAATGGCCACTGGGTCAGGAGGCTGCACAGCCAGACCGGGGGCCTTGAAGCCTGTGGGGCACAAAGACATCTCCCTACTTTTCACACAGCAACTATCTGTAGACACACACAGAACCTTCTTTTTCCACCAGTAAATCGTGCCTGCAGAGTTATCTGTTCGCTGACTACAACAAGGATTAATGATTAGAAGTTTCATTATTCTCTCTGAGCGAGGAGGGAAAACTACGTCGTTTTTAATGTAAGGTAGCTGCTGGTCGGAAAAAAGACTCTTATTTAAACTTCATAAAAGGAAGAAAGGAAGAAAGAAAGAAAGAAAGGCCTTGATAAGTGTTTCTTAAAATAGCAAGGAGACAAATCATCTTACCAGAAACTCATTATAAATAGAAAGCCTTAAAATAGATTATTCAAATGTGGCAAAAAGCTCTTAATTGGCCACCTGAAAATGTCCAAAACAAAAACAAATATGGAGAAATTAAATGTTTAAGACAGCAGGGTCAGAAGTTGACTTAGAAGTGCATTTCCCTTTAGGAAAACCTTGTCATGCAGGTTTTATGACACAGACTTCCATGCAAAACCCCACCTTATAGGGTGGTGGCCGAAGATACCCCAGAACTGCAAGGAACAGGAACAGGGAAAGGTCAGGGTTTGCCCTGCAGGTGGGCGGGGTCTCCAACTTCTTGGTAAAACCCCAGCCAAGGCTTCGCGTCCCGTGTCAGCTACAGCGGCGTCTGCAATCTACCCTGAGTGTCTGCTCTCTCAATGTGGTCCTTCCTCTCCTCCCTTCAAAGCCAAAGGAAGGGAGGAGATGGCACAGGGGTGTGGGTGGGTAACAGGTGTGACTCTGGGAGTTCAGCCTCTTCCGCCGGTGAGCATCTAACACAGCACCGAGGCCCTCGACGGAGGCCCTGAGCTCGGGCCAGGAACACCAAGACAGAACACACACTAACACACGCCGAGCAAGCTTTTAGAAAGGAAATCCTCATCTGCCTCTGGGTGCCAATCGCCCTCGCCTCAGAGCTGGCTGGCTATCTGCAGGCTCACCCCAAAACGCACCAGGGGTTGGGAGTCCATTCTGAACGCATGTAATCGGCTTTGCTTTTCGGAATCGGTGATCTTATTACCTAATTGGAACCATCCCTAAAAATAGTCAGATGTTGTTCTAACACGTGAAGGGGGGTTGGGGGGGGAGGAAGAACCACCAATAAAACAGGGCCTAGAAATAACATCCAACTCACAAAACAGGAAGTAGCAGCCCACATCTGGCTCACCTTGTACAAGCACCTGCCTCTCTGGACTGGTGCATTGAGAACATCCTTGTGGGACTTCACATGGCCCATGGATTGCTGACATGAGGGTGCTCTGGGATGGATGCACACGTGTGTGACCCACACAGGGGTGTGTGTGTGTGTGTGTGTGTGTGTGTGTGTGTGTGTGTGTAAATGGAACGTCACTGGTTTTGATGGTATTGGGGTTTGAACTCAGGGCTTCACACTTGCTAGATAGGCCTTTGACTGCTGTTTTTTTTTAATGGTTATGTTTAAGACAGGGTCTTATTTCCTGCCATGGTGTGTATGTACCTGGACCACAGTCCTATGGTGGCTGGGATGGCAGGAGAATGGCACCATACTCAGTATTTTTTCCCACTGAGATGGAGTCTTTCTGACTTTTCTGTTCTGGGTGGCCTTGAACCTCAATCCTCTCGATCTCAGCCTCCCAAGTGGCTAGGATGACAGGCATGAGCCATGGCTCTTCTCATTATTAAGCGACAGCATAGTAGTTTTGTTTTTAAATAAATTTAAGAGAGGAAAAATGCTTTTATCATTGGCAGTTCTGGGAATAAAAGCCAAGGCTTCACATATGTCAGACAAAGGCTCTTCCAAATTGAGCTATACCCCTAGTTCACAGGAAAAAAAATTTTTCTTTAAAATAGGGAAACAGCCTGTTTTAAACTGCCTCTCCCAGCTTGAAAAGGCATTTTCTTGACTATCTTAAGGAGAAAGACCTGAGTGTGCCAGTGCTGCCTCCTGGTGCCTACTGTGTGCTGTGGTCAGCTTCCACGTTCCAGCCCCTTCCCGCTTCCATGCTGCTGCTCCCTCCCACCCGCCCTGCTGCAGCAGCCTGGGGAGGCAGCCCCGCGGCGGGGGAGGCGGAGCGCTGCGGTCTGTGACTTGCGCAGGTCCTGACTTCTGGACTGTGAAGACGCTGGTTGGGTGGGTTTACTTCCAGGGTTCTTTGTGGCCATAAACTCTGAGAATCCCACCTGTGTTCCCGCCCCCATTTTGTCATCTGTTGACTGATTCTAAGGATGTTCATTTCTCCCCAAGTGGATAAATGCTAGCCCCCTCCTTCCTTAAATTCAGTTTCCTTGCACATCTGGGATTAAGACTCAGGCTTTTGACCTTTCCCTAAATCTACTTCTGCAGGGGGTCTGGTCTCGGCCCCAGCCCCTGGATTTAAGCAACGAGCAGCAGCGACTGAGTGCCTCTGGGTAATCCCTAAGGAGTGTTTCGACACACCTCCACTGGGCACATTTACCCAGCACAGCCACCGTGACCACTCTGCGGGGCAGCAGCTGATGGATCCTGGCGCGGAACTCCACCAGGGTTCCCCTACTCAAAAGCTTGCGGCAGCACACTGACAGCACATGGGGACAGGGTGCGAAGCTGTGGAGGACTGGGGCGGGGGGAGGTCCTTGCTGGGACGCCATAAATATTCACAGGACAAATTCCAGTCAGAGTGCACTTTATCTCTGGCTTGCTTCTTCTCAAAAAAAAAAAAAAAAAAAAAATTCCCAAGTTGCAGTAACATCAGGAATGAGAGCTTATCCTGTACCTCACCGTGCGGCCAGGGAGGCGGCCTGGATGTGGAGACAGCCGGCAGGCCGCTGCAGCGGCGAGAGCCAGATCTGTACAAACATGGCTGCACGCCGTCCACCATCCTGAATGCGCTCAGCCACGTGTGGCCCGCCTGTCCCTTCTTTTCCTCAGAGGACTGCAGGGGGCTTCCACCGGGCCTCCCTGCCTCTCCTCCCGAGCTCCCCAAGCCCGGCACAGGAATGGGCTCTTAAATCACAGCCATGCCGCTTCCCTGTCCCAATGCCTTTGATGACACCCACTGGGGAACACAGTCTGATTTCCTAGGCATTTAAGAGCAGTCCTGTTCAGTTCTGAGCGCTCTCCGGTGTGATCCTAGGAGGGCCCCATTCTAACTCAGGTGGACTCCACCCTTCCCTATACACTCTCCACACTGTTCACCTCCCTTTATTCCTCCTATTTTCAATGACCACAATGCCTTCTTTTTGCATTCACTGAGTGGATATTTCTGCACATTTTCTATTTTCAACCGCATATCTGAGAGGAAGGAGCCAGCTTTTTACTGTTCTCCAGTCTGCTTAGCATAGTGCCATGCTTCTAGTAGGTGCTCAGTCACTGTTAGCTATGTGCCCTTATTTAGGACGTAAGTTATTACCAGAAGCGCTCAGATCTTAAAATCTGGTATCAACTGCTTAGTGCAATTGACAGAACAATCTCCAACTTTCTATTTTATAAGCCAAACAAAAGTATTTCTTCAATTGCTTTACTGTGTTCTACAAAGCTAAAAGAGGAGAATATTTCTGCATCAAAGAAAGCCCTTGGGTCTTAATTGCTTTTTTTTCTCCTCTGCTTGTGGTTTAAGTATACAAATACCAAGGCCTCCAGAGGCAATATTAATGAAAAAAATATAAGAGAATTATAAATATTTAATATTTTGAAAATGGCTTTCCTATACATCTACCTGGAAGCTCCCAGAATCAGACTCCAACATCTTCGGAGCTGATATTTTTAACATTTGAACAACAGAAAAATTGCTAACAGTTGAATAAATAATCCCTTACTAAGAGACTGAATATGACCAATACAATTGTTAAAACACAATAATCAGCTTCAATGCCAAGCTCAATAAACAATTGCTGAGTGGAAAACAAAGGAATTCAGAGAAGACACTACTATTGTTGTTAAGTCAAAAGCCTACATATAACAGATGGGTGGGAGCAGATGTGAGAAGAAATGAACTGGAGGAGAGAAAAAAGCCCTGAAATGACCGCGACCCTACTCTGTTTCTGAGACCGTGGCTATCGGCAGGACTGCCGGAGAAGCAGGGACAGGCGCAGGGGAGGAGCTGGAGGCCTGGTCCACTGGACCCTGTCTCGTTGGAGTTGAGCTTGGTGGCTAGGTATACAGAAATCGTTCCATAAATACGGGTTGAGATGCAAGCACCTTGGGACCTGTCTCCATTTTCGCATTTCAGTCTTCCTCATCTATCGCTCACTGGTGCCGAGTAGTAGTACATTACAAGCCCTTTCACATGCTGCCAGAGAGCACCAGGGGCGGCCATGCTAGACACAACAGCGGTAGTTACTGGGACTTTGTGTGGAGCGCATGCTCAGTGACTTGCACTGCGCTTACCCCACAGCTGGCAGGGGTTGGCTGCCTGACCCAGCAACTGCACCCACATCCCAGCCTCGCTTCAATCCCAAGCCTGAAGTTACGTATCCAGCTAAGAGTTATGTATCCAGGTAAGAGACGCCAGAGGTGTATGACGAGGTTAGGTCTAAAGCTCCCACAGCTGGCATGAGACACCAGATCCTGAGGGGGACGTGGGTGATACTTATACGGCTCTCTTGAGAGCCTTTGGAACCCCCAAACTTAGTGGATCACTATTATAATTCCCATGCTTTTTTGGGGGGGGGGCAGTCCCCCAAGACCCCCAAGCAATAGTTTATTTCATGTAGACTAAAAATTAGAGACAGGAATTTAGTTACCTCAGTTAGGCCAGACCCGCCTTAAGAGTTCGATTCCGTGCTTTGAAAGAAATCACTTGGAAATCCTCAGTTCTGACTCCTCCATCATCTCCACAACACCATCTAGAAAATGAAAAAGGTGCACGGATCTCAGATGACTAGCTGCTGGATTTCGTGTTCTGGCCATAGTACTGTCATCAGCATATATGGAGGGCCTGCGGTAAGTCGAGGCCTGCCTCCTGCACACCAGGGCCACCTCCACGCCTGGCCCCAGCCCCAGCGGCTCTGAGAGATCACAGTGTGACCTGCGCGAGGTCCCACCACTGCCCCTCAAACCCCTCCAAGGTCACACCACTGCCCCTCAAACCTGGATTCAACTGAGTGAAAAGCCTGGGCAGGCAACCAGCAAGTCTCAGCTCCTAAAGTTGATTTGTTTTTAATTGTGTTATCTAAACGGAAAGGCAAAAGTTTCACTAAACAATCCTCGTCCTGTGTGCGACGCGTGCTTTTTCTCTTTTTTTTCCTGTCCTTTTCCCTCGTACTGTATATTCTCGACCTTTAAACAAAAGCAGCCTGCGGTAACCCACGGATGGACTCCACCACGAAGGGGCCCAGCTCTTGGAGGAACACTACCAGGAGTCTTTCGCTACCAGGTTTCCTGACGCCACGACCGCTCCCCTGTCCTCTTGGGCCGTGAGAACCCGAGGGGGCAGCTGAGCCTCACAACCCGGGAGAGGGCTTCAACGTGTGCACCCCCAGACGGGATGGGCACTTAGGCCCGGGCGCAGGGGGCGAGGGGCGCTCCCCACGGCGGAACCTCGGGGCCTATGAGCCCCTCTGCAGAGTGGGGCCGGGCGACGGGGCGGGCCGGGCAGCCGGACCCCAGCGCTGCAGGCAGGGGTCCCGGGGGCCCTGCGGGCCGGGCCGGGCCTGGTCCGACCCCCACCGGACCAGGCTTGCAGTTGCACCAGGAAACCCATCGCCCGCCAGGTCGGGTGGGGTGGGGGCCGGGTGGGGGGTCGCGACCCGGGGACGAGGGGTGCGCGGTGCGGAGCCCCCCGGACCTGAGCCCCCGCCCCGCGCTGGAGTCGGGGGGGGGTCGCGACCCGGGGACGAGGGGTGCGCGGTGCGGAGCCCCGGTCCGCAGCCCCCCGCGCCCGGGGCTGGAGTGGGGGCCGCAACGCCGAGACGCGGGGTGCGCGGTGCGGGGCCCCGGTCCGCAGCCCCCCGCGCCCCGGCCCTCGCCCCCCACCCCACCCGGGCCCCCGCCGCGCCCCCGGGCTGCGGACCAGGCGGCGGGGGGGCGGCGGTCCGGCACCTGCGGGGCGACCCGGCCAGCCGCCGGCCGCGGGGGCCCCGCCGCGCTCCGCGGCGCCGGGCCGAGGGCCGGGACCCCGGGCCCGCGCCCCCCGCGCCCCCCGGCCGAGGGCACTTACGGGGCTCGGCTCCTCCGCGGCCGGCGCGCTCCGCCCGGGGGTCCATGGCGCTTCCGGACCCGGCGAGTCCGGCCGACGCGCCAAGCTGCGCAGCGCCGCCCAGAAAATGGAGGCCGGCGGCGGCGGCGGCGGCGGGGCCCGGCCCGGCCCACCCGGCGCGGGGCCCAGGCGCAGCCCGGCCGGGGGCGACGCGGCGAGCGCGCGGCGCCCTCCGCGGCCCGGACGGCCCGGCCGGGGCCTCCCGTGGGCCCGGCGGCCCCGGGAAGCTGGGGCGCGGCGGCCTGGGCCCCGAGGCCCCGGGGGCTGCGGCCGGCTCGCACCCCGGGCCAACGGCTGTGACCCACACCGACCGCCGCGCACGGGCGGCACCCGCCGTCCATGAAGGCTCCCGACGGCCGCCCCGACCCGCCGCCGCCCCGGGTACGCGCGGCACCGGGCCCTCCGCCCCCCCTCCGCCTCTCCCGAGGACCGCGGTTCGAAGCCAGCCCCGGCAGGAGAGGCCGAGCGACTCCTACCTCCGAGGAACCACCCGGCAAGCTGGAAGGGGGCGCCGGGCCAGCGCCTCGGGGCCCCGGGTTCGAGTCCCGGAGCCAGCACCAAAAAAAGGTCAATAGATGAGCATTTCAAGAAGAAAAAGCAAAGCACACGGCCGGCCCTGTCTGCCCGGGTCCCCTGCCCGCCGGGGCCCTGTCCGCCCGGGCCATGCCCGCCGGCGTCCCCTGGCCCGCCCGCCCGGGCCCTGTCTGCCCAGGGCCCGCTGCCCGCCCGCCCGGGCCATGCCCGCCGGGGCCCGCTGCCCGCCCGCCCGGGCCCTGTCTGCCCAGGGCCCGCTGCCCGCCCGCCCGGGCCCTGTCTGCCCAGGGCCCGCTGCCCGCCCGCCCGGGCCCTGTCTGCCCAGGGCCGCACAGCCACGTGTTTACCCAGCGGCAGGTCGGTCTGTCGGCGGTCGATCGGTGGGTCAGTCTGTCTCGTCTGGGCCAGGGCTGCTGGCGTCTGTCTGCATGCTTTCCTTTTTAAAGCGAGCCGCGTCCCCGCGTCCTGATAACACGGACCTCGTTCTACACTTGTCTTCAGAACCCATTTCTGCGCGCAGCGGGGCCAGGTTTAAGAAGGTGACCCCTTGGTGACTTGGAGTAGCAAAGCCAGGGCGGGGACTTCAAACCATACAGAAACACCACCACCACCACCACCACCACGAAGACACAGGATCCAGAGGGGCGGGAAGGAAGGTGAAGGCACTGTTTTGGGGGTGACGGGCAGCCCCTGCCTTCTGGCGCTGTGCACCCCTCATTCTCTCCGTGTTCAAAGACCCACTCCCCGAAACCGCATTCGTTAGGGAGGGACTCACCTTCCCGCTTAGAAAACAACTGCCAGTCAGAGCTCCTGCCAACCTGAGCCAACCAGAAGCCACTCCTGGTCTGTGCTCTGCTTCTACGGCCCTCCACTGAGGGCTTGGGAAAGGCTGAAAAGCAGCCAAGCGCCTCCAGGAAACGGGTACAGGAATCTAGACTCAGGCTGGGGGCTGGGAAGGTGGCTCAGTGGTAGAGTGCTTGCCTCACATGCGTGAGGCCCTGGGTTCGATTCCTCAACGCCACATAAGCAGAAAAGGCTGGAAATGACACTGTGGCTCAAGTGGTAGAGCGCTCGCCTTGAGCTGAAGAGCTGAGGGACAGCGCCCAGGCCCAGAGTTCAAGCACCACAACTGACAAAGACTCATGCCAGGATGTCTCTTGGCTCTGTGCGCAGGATGGTGGGGGTAGGCATATAGAGTCCACCCTGGGATCCAGCCTGTCTGTGTCCAAAGACCAGCTTCCTGGTTTACACGGCCCCATTTCACCTCCCCCACCTCAGCTTTCCTGTTCACAGAATGGGGCGCCTTTAAATATTAGCTTCCTAGAGCTTTATGAGAATTCCATGAGATAAAGACATGTGGCAAGAGGCAAGATTTACCATGGTACCTAGCACACTCTGAGTGTTCTTTCCTTGCAAGCTGTTGTGGGTGTTGCTAGCGCTGAAAATATTCAGAGTTAGCTTGTGTGTGTGTGCACACGTGCGTGTGTGGTACTGCGGATTAAACCCAGAGCCACACTCATGGTAGCCAAGTGCTCTACCACTGAGCTACATTCCCCAGTCCTTCTTCTTACTGTTAATTTTTAGGTGATGTGCACGACTCCACTATTGAGCTACCAACCCCAGCCCTTGCATTCAGAATTCAACTTCCTACCATTCAAGCAAAGGGGATCACATCACAACTCCCCCGCCTCCACCTCTCCCTCCGTGCAACGAGATTTATACTCCAGAAAATTTCCATGGGTAACCTGCTAGAGTCATCTGGTGGGTGCCATATGGAGATTTCAGTCCAGGTCTGACTCCAAGGTGACTTCCGTGCCTGCCTAACCTGTTCCTGTGGTACCTTGATCGGCAGGGCCAGGGTCAACAGCTTGTTGCTGGTGAAATCCGCTCTGGTTTTCCTAAGAGGCTTAGCAAGTGAATGGCTCCTGCCATCCGTGTGGAGAACAGCCCTCCCTCCCTCCCTCTTCTTCCTGAAGGACAGCATGCAGCCTTACCAGAAAGCATCCTGCCCCCAAACCCTGTCAATCACCTGTGAGTCAGCAAGGGGAACCTCATCCCCTGAGGTCACTTCCTGATCCTCTGGTTCCCGCCTCCTTCTCCCCCTTCCCTATATAATCTCTCTCCACCATTAGTCGAGCCACGACACGCTGTGTGCTGCACTCTGCACACCTACATCTAGCGCCGCCAGGCACCTGGACGACATGGTGGTCTTTCCGCAACCCTTACATGTACCACAGACACTGGTATTTCTCTCCCACCAGAGCCAACTGTTTCTCCAGAATGGAGTACATTTCCCCAAATTGTTATTAATAACTAAAATATCACAGCAATACTTCCACACATCATTGCCTAAAACTTACATAATCAGACGGTGCTTCAAAATTTTCCATTCTTCCTTATAACTAGTCACAGATTCTCTCTCTTAATCATGCTTCTGAGTATGAGGAACTCACTGGAAATTTCCAGAAGTATTCACCTTGTTGTAACGGATTCTTTTAAAAAATAACGCTTTTTTTCTATAACAATTTTCATTTTAATATATTTGCAAAGAAAAAAAATGAAACAGCGATTGCAAGGCTTTTTAAGTTTCTACTCTCTGAAATTACTACCGGTTCATCTTCTCAGTGCAACTCCTGACCTCTGCCAGGGGCCTGGTCTAGCAAGCTGCTCTTGTTTTCCACCTCGTTCTAGTTAATTCTCACATGATTTCTGCTGTGCTGCTATGGTCAGCTCGGAATTTCTGGTTCAGTCTGTTGGCCAGTTTCACACTGACTGGCCCTTTTCTCTCTCTATGGGGCTTTAAGGTCATCAGAGCATCATATAAAAAGACGATGTGGTACATCTCTTTTAGACCCATTTGCTTGCTATATTTCCCGGCCACCTGTTTGAAATCTAGTTCATTCTGATGCCTACCCTTGCAGGCTCTGCTGGGTTACCATTTACACACACCAAATTCTCTCTCTCAGCAGCCCCTCCTCTGGCTACTTATCTCTTTCACCTCCAAGTGTTGAAGGCAGCCATTCTCCATCTTTTTCTCTCATTTTGCACCACATATTCCTGGGAGGCTCTGTGTGGGGTGCTCTGTTTGGGGGGGGATCACAGCTTCTGAAGAGGCTTTGTCTAGAACTTGCCCCTCCCAAGGGGTGTGAACTAGGGCCCAGGATAAGTGCTGCCCCACAATAGAAGAGAGCCCAAGGTGGGGTGAGGGGGAAGGGGGAGGACCGGGCTCTACCCAGCTCCATGCTGAATGCTGCCTGCTGGGCCTGAAGAATATTCCAATGAGGCCTCAAGTCAGGACTTTTATGAGATCTATGAAATGTGAAGGAAAGCGGAGGAGGGGGGCGGGGGGCGGGGAGTCTGATGAAGCCTCTAGCCAGGACCAATTTATAAGCAATGTTTCTTCAAGACTTTTTTTTTTTCAGTACCGAATTTGAACTTAGGGCTCATGTTTGCTAGGCTGGGTGCTCTACCACTTGAGCTATACTTCTAGGTTTTGTTTCCTTTTGATATAAAATGCTTATGCTGTCGATAGGAAGATACACAATATGCTTACAAACTATCATCTCAACTGTTAAACATGCAAGCTCAGTAAGCACAGGGTTCTTGAGTTCAAACCCTGGTACCTCCAAAAATAGTAAAAGGAAGAAAGAAAATGAGTCTTCAACTTCATATCCAGTCCTTGATCTGTCTTGGTACGGTTCACAAATAAGGATTATTTTTACATTTTTAAATGAATTGGGGGGAAAATGAAGATGTCAAGCTATAAAAATTATATGAAATTCACATTTGTATCCATACATGAGGTTATAGAGACACAGCCATAGTCCTATCTAGTATTATTTTTTTAAATTTCATCAATACATATGTGTACATCAGCTTTCTTTCTATGTAAATCCCTACACATATTCTCAGATTTGCTTCCACTCACTGTCAAATAAAATGTATGGGAGGCTCCTATACTGGACCTTAACAGACCAAGCCAAAAGGTCCAGAGAGCTAAACTGCAATCAAGGTGTTTATGTGAGCTTCTGAGGAATCAGAAGATAAACAGGCCCCATAGTGGCCACGTTTTGTGGCATAAGGAAGTCCCTGAGCTGAGCTTTGTAAGAAAAGTACCCTGGTCCTTCTCCACGAATCCTCCCAAGCTGCCTTACAAAACCCAGCTGTTGCCAGCTGCCAGCAGCTCACATCTGCAATCCTAGCTACTCAGGAGGTTGAGATCTGAGGACCGCGCTTCCAAGCCGGCCTGGGCAGACTGTGGGACTTATCTCTAATGAACCAAGAAAAGGCTGAAAATGGAGCTGTGATGCAAGTGGCAGAGTGCCAGCCTGGAGTGCTCAGGCCTTGAGTTCAAGCCCCAATATCAGTACAAACAAATGAATTAACTAAGAAATTCACTTAAAAAAAACCCACAAACATATGCACTAGACACCATGTTGAAAATGAACTATACAACTTGTGGGTAGGGTTGGGAAGGAAAAACTGGGAGACAGAGAGGGAAGGGGTGACACTGTCCAAACGCAAATGTATTCATTACCTGACTTATGTAACTGTCACCCCTCTGCATAATATCACCTTCAAAATAACGAAAGTCAAAAACAGCTGCTATTCGGCTCCACATAACAGAGCACCTATTTTGTCTTTTACAGTCGGGTACTGCCTGAGTCATGAAAAAAATCTCAAGTGAAAGCTGGAAGCGTTGCCAAGTTTATTGGGAGAACCAAACTGCCAGGCCACATTCTAGCGCAGGGGGTAGCAGTTTGAAC